TAGGTTGCTTCCCGACAGCATCTGTCTGCAGAGAGCTTTTCGCCGACAAACACCCATCAAAGTTGCAAAAGCTGCTGACGGCTGTGAGCACTGTTCACAGAACAGCTGTCAGCGTCCACCGTCAGCTGCTGCCCACGTCTGACTGCTGTCAGCTTATGACACCGCCATCTTCCGCTGACAGCTCCTCACACCCGGCCGGCACTTGGTGACGCTTTATGACGCCCTCCGCCGGTGTCAGATGGTCCGAGAGGCGGCTTACACGGCGGCGGGGCAGCGGTGCGGAAACACTCCCCACGCCCGGCCAGTCCAGTATCATTAGCTGGCTCTGACGGCGGCATCTATCATCAGAACTCGGCTCCAGCCGGCCGCAGCGAACGTCAGATACCAGGCGGGGCCGGGAAACAAGCCTGGGCGGCGAGCGAAACAAGCCTGGGCAGTCGTTAGAGAGGCGGGCCGCGGCCAGCGAACAAGTGTCTGAATAGTGAGCGGAGCCACGACCACTACAGAGCAGAGATTGAACAGTAGGAGGGACGGCAGCCAGCAAACAAGCCTAGGCACCGGTCAGCGAGACAGGAAGCAGCTGGCGAACAAGCCCTGAGAGATGTGGACAAGGCGTACCCAGGCCAGCAAAGCCGCCACAGCCGCGTTGGTACTAAGGCATGATGACCAAACCGTCTGTTAGCGTGGCAACGGTGAATGATCTCCTGCATCGAAGTGAACAATGGCTAATTCAATGCTTGGAAGGTGAGTATCAATTGGGAATAATGTCATTCGCCCACAATCAACAAACCAAGCGAAAAAGATGCATACATATAGGAGAAGAATTGTGTCGAACTGGGGTGCTCAGGCGCAGCAAAGCCGCTGCCGCCCTAGCAGTAACTTTGACCTCCGCTGTCTGTTGCGGCTCCAAAGCCAAGCCGGCGTGGAATTTGGAGAGCTCAAGCACCCTCAGCCCAGCACAATTCTCCAGCTATGTATGTACGATACATATAAATCAAGTGTAAAATTGGACACCCCGTGGTGGATCAAGACGGACAAAAGCCTATTACATGTGCCAAACCTCGGAACGATGCCCCCGGAGCTGACCCCAGGTCACTACTGCTCCGAGCCGGCCCACGTTCCGGTCACCAGCGGTATCGGTTCGCCGGACGACATTATCTAATGACACACAGCCCACAGCGGGCTAACCGAGTTACTTCGCGGACGCAACTACGGGCCGGCCCCAGTGTTTCCCAGGACGGGGTCAGGCGGTTCGACGGACAAAGACGCGATGCTCAGCCGGGGAGGGTTGGTCTGTCTGGCGACGTTGCATAACCAGCACGGCAGCGCTAGCCGCTAGATAATTCCGGCCCAGAAATAGCTAATTATGCTGAATCATGGCCAATTAGTTTGTCGTGTTCAGGGCTGGAGATGCTGAATGCAAATGCCAGGGCGCCAGAAATACCACGTTGAATGCAAGTAGACTTATGCTAGAAATTTATGCATAACATATGATCTTTGAAATGTGGCTCAAAATGGAAGGATTTAAAACGGACAATACTAAGTGCTTCAAGTGTTTATAAGTGAATGACAGAGTTTATGGAGGTGAGTTTAAATACGTAAATTGATTAAACGGCATTAGCCAAAGCACAATCACTTTTTTAGAAACATAAGAAGCACTAGCCCCAGATATGCACAATACGATTCTCGCTGCTTCGTCCACTTCCACTTTCCGTAATCAGCAGTTCGGACCATATTTTCACGCCAGCGAACACTATGACACCATGAACAGACGGCGGTATTAACATAGGAGTAGAATAGGAGTCAGGGTACGAGTAGAGTTCTATTGTGAATATGGCCAGCGGAGAGCGGGCTAAAGAACTATCGACAGCGACTATGAGGAGGAAGTTCAATCATATCACACAAGATGTCGGTAAAGATATCACAAAATAGCGCAACGTCGGCCATTGTGGCAGGTGGCTGTACGATTACTCACGCACGACACACGTCAACGCTTGTCATATGCGTGCGGGCCGATCATATTGTCATATGTTTTAGGGCCTTGCGTGCGGGACCGATCGACAAAGCGGTCAACTGGTGATCCGTGTGTGATAAAGACCAGCGATTCGGTGTTCTGAGACGGAGATAAAGTGTAGTAGTCAGACTTGTGCCAAGGTCCCAAAAAGATCCGAGATCCAGGGTTCGCAGAGTCCAAGGTCTGGGACCTTGATGGATCCTGGACCTTGCATTGTCATTTTTGTCGCGAGACCTTGGAAACCCAGGACCTTAAAACATCCATATGCCGCGAGACCTTGGAATCCCAGGACCTTAAAACATCCATATGCCGCGAGACCTTGGAATCCCAGGACCTCAACATTTGCATATGTCGCGAGACCTTGGAATCCCAGGACCTCAACATTTGCATATGCCGTGAGACCTTGGAATCCCAGGACATCAACATTTCATGTGACATGAGACCTTAGAAACCCAGGACCTCAACATTTCATATGCCGTAAAACCATGGAAACCCAGGGGTTAGGACCTCAAAATTTTGGTATGCTGCAAGACCCTGCAGAATGCAGACCTTCAGTACCAGTTTTATTATTTGTCATGGGATCTTAGGAGAACGGTCTGGAGTCGACCTACACCATCATTTTGTTGAGGGACCTCAAGAATCCTGGAAGCTGGACCATGAGGTTTATGTTGCACATGGGCCACTAAGGACCCTGCACTAGGTTTTGTCTGTACCTAAGGCTAAGCACTTCAATAAATATCTATGGTTGAGCGACCAGCTGCAAGGGGCTAGATAGCTACACGAAGAGAAAGCGAACCAGACTGTGTAGACATATATAGAGCAAAATCGTTGCCATGGCTGTGAGGCAGAACTGGAACAAGAGACCTGGTAGCTTTTTACATTATCAATGTTATGGATTATGAAACTGTCAAACAGTGGACAGCGGTGGTTTGGAAAGTTCTTTTCTAATCTCACCTCACATTTTCTGGGTTGTGATATGCCGGGCCTGTGGCCGGGCTTGAAGCTACTTGGAAGCTACCCACTGACCAAGTAAGTGTCAAACTTATTTGTTTTGCAATTCATCAAATCACCATTGAGCAATGAGCAATATAAGCAATGATTCCATGACAGTTCAACTTTTTCGTTTAGCAGGTTTTCGTCGGACAATTTTTCGTCTGCAGATTTTCGTCCGCAGACTTTCGTCCATGCATTTGTTCGTCTGTGCATTTCAATTTTTAAGTCCGCGCATTATTTTCATAAGGACATTTTCCGCCTCGTCCAGACGAAAAAATGCCGGACAGAAAAATACTCAGACGAAAAATGCACCAAATTAATTCGAACAGACGAAAAAATGCAAGACGAAAAAGTCAGACGAAAATCTGCCGACGAATATAACCGGCTGACGAAAAAATTGTCAGATGGAATTTTGTTCAGAGCCTTCAATCTAATGTGAATGAACAGTAAGTAAGGTTTGCGCTCGCTGATACTCTAATTCTATTGGCTTAGTCGATCAGTTTTTCTGTGAGCGCTCGCGCAAACAAGACTTAGAACATATTTTACTTTTTATCCTAGGTATTACCTATGTAACTGAATGTGCAGAAAATCGAAAGCATATACCTATCCAATTCAACTTTTCCATTTCTATGAAGCCTGTAGGTTTTATTTCTGGTTTTTTTTTATATTGCCTGAAAGAATACTTGAATGTCTGTCTTCAATAACTGTAAGGTGCTATCCTACATTCCTACTGATAAGGTAAGATTGAATTGAAAGGGACATGACAATACAAATTGCAAGGTACCTATTACCTACCTATATTTTTATGAATTTGTCAGGTTAAAGAAGGAGAGATTGATAGTATGATTCATTTTTAACTTGTGTTGAAGCTCCCCCTACCTATGTTGGTTAACGATAAAACCACCACAGTCCACAGGTTTGCATAGGTTCTGCCCCTTTCAATGTTGCTGGGCATCCGTTGGCAGAATATTTATAAGTAAGTCTGCTCATCAGAATGTTAGTTTGTTTAAGTTCTTGTTGTGGGACCCTGAATACTTTGGATCCTGAGATGTATTCTTGCCGTGGGACCTTGAGGACTGTGGACCCTAAACTCTGAAGTGTGGGACCCTAGGGACTGTGGACCCTGCAATGCATTCTTGTCGTGGGACCTTGGGGACTGTGGATCCTGCAATGCATTCTTGTTGTGGGACCTTGGGGACTGTGGACCCTGCAAAGTATACTTGCTATGGGACCTTGGAAACCTTGGATTCTAGAAATTGAATTTGCCGTGGGACCTTGGAAACCTTGGATTCTAGAAATTGAATTTGCCGTGGGACCTTGGAAACCTTGATTCTAGAAATTGAATTTGCCGTGGGACCTTGGAAACCTTGGATTCTAGAAATTGAATTTGCCGTTGGACCTTGGAAACCTTGGATTCTAAAAATTGAATTTGCCGTGGGACCTTGAGGATCCTGGATCTTGATTTTTGGTCCCGGCACAAGTCTGGTAGTAGTACGACTTTATTGTTCAAGATCGAGTGAATGGCCGTAAACGAGGGAGCTTCAGGAAGTTTGGTATTATGCCGAGGAAAGAAGGCAAGACATACAAGCTAGTTTCTTTATTTTCTATTCCTATTTGACTGCTGATAAGCTGAAAAAGCTGGTGGAAATTCATTAAAAAGAAACACACCAATGGATAAAAAAGCAGCCAAAGAACATTTGAAACAATCCAAATAATTATGTTTATCAGCAGCACGCAACTTTGATTGAGGAAACTATATGAAACAAATCAAAAGCAAGAGCGTCGCAGCTTACATCAGAATCTGAGCGACGATAGAAGCCAGTCGATGACATAAAATAACCACCTTCTATTGTGAATTCCGACACAAGAAAAAGATAAATAAGTAGCTTGCCGAAAGCGCATACAGCATGTTCCATAGGTATCACACGGCTATACACCCAGGCAGATACGAGGTCCAGCTATCCCTTATTGGAAATCCCAAAGCTGTGCTCACCTGGCGTAGAGCAGGTAGACGCGAGACTGCAGAGAGCGCACCAGTTTCAGCTGTTCGGTGAACGTCTTCAGGCCCGGCTCAAACTCTACGACTTCTTCCACCTATCCGCACACGCCCGACCGGTCAGAGGTCACCGGTCAAGTCACAAAGGGCGCCTATCACCGCCCAGCCGGCCGGTCAGAGGTCAAAGGTCATCTACACACGTCCGTCCGATCAAAGATCATGTCACAAAGGGCGCCTATCCGCACCCAACCGGCCGGTCAGAGGTCAGAGGTCATCCATACACATTACACGTCCTTCCGAAAAGGGGTCACAGGTCACAAAGGTCACTCGCCGAGACCCCCGTCGGACCCACACATCACACCGGTGGTGTCTGCAGGGGGCAAGTGAGCCAGGTTCAGGGGGCCAGTGAACCAGCGGGTGGTTGGTTCACTTGGGGTGTGACAGGGTTATTGGCACCGAGGGAAACTGTCTGTGGTGAACTGTACAAAGCATATACATCGGGGACAAAGCCTACCAGCTTTCATGTGTGTGCCCTGCGACCGAGTGATGCCGGATGATCAGGATAGACGGGATTAGTTGAACACGAGCTCGCTCAGGTTCACGTAGCTAAAATTGTTCAGCGGCTTCATACCAGTTGGGGAGTTGTATTACAGGAATCTGGAAAAAGGTGTTAAATATCATTAGTAAAAGTCTGAGGTTCTTGTTAACTTAACCAGACCTCTTAGTCAAGAAAATAGATAAATCAATGACATTGCATTTCAGTTGGCCCAGTCAGGAATCGCGTGGGTAAGGGATTGGCGATTATTTGCATTTAAATAAGTCCAAATTTTTCGCCACGATCACCGACTGGAAGCACACGCAAATCTAAACCAGGTCCGCACTGGTTCTTATTCATTTTTTGTAGAGCAAAAAGTGATAAGAATTGCAGTAATGATATTTGGAAAGGGCAGAGTCCCTACTTTTCTAAAACATTATTCACAGGAAAACGGCATTGTACACAATTATAGATCCATACAAACGACAAGTACATAGTTCTTATAAATTCTTAGAGCGAGTTACACGACATATCTTTCCGCTAAAACATTTCAAGGTCACGAGAAATGCTACAATGCTCTGTGCTCAACCATAGAGATTAAGATCTCTATGTGCTCAACGACCTCGGAAAGCTACTTGTATGTGAATCTAGCCTAAGGATGTTGTGCAGTGCACTGTGCAATACAGTCCGCTACGGTAGTAAATGAACATTCAAAACTTAATATCGTCCTCAGCATTTACATAAAAAGCTTTTGCTACGTCGGTCGATGCTTATACACAACCATTTCCCTACAAGTGGGGCAACTTGTATCTGCAGATACAAGTGTAAAAGTGACTCATTTGTAGCAGTGCAGCAAGCCACCAGGTGAACAGTGAATGAAGCCATACGCATTACTATTTCTTCTAAAGTAAACCATAGCAGATGGGTACTGCAAATAAACGTGACTCCAGCAATGGTGAATCAGCATTCACTATAACCAAATATGTAATATTATAATCGTATATTGCCACCGTAGGTTGATTTGCAGGTACAGTAATATGAAAAACTGCAAAGCACAGGCAATGCCTGATGAATACACTATAAGCACAGTTTTTATGCAGCGATGTATACAAAAAGTACACAACACTGCGTGCTTTCCGTACGTTTTAATAGTTCAATAAGCCACAGTGCAATACAGCAGGAAGTCGAAGGACTTCGCCAGCCTACGCTACGAATGTTTTGAGCAGCGCTGGTTCGTAGTAGTGGCCAGTAGGTATGGCGATAAAAAGCTGATCATTCGATGTCTTCATGCAATCCTTCCCGACCCAGATGCAGCTGACCTTAAACATGTAGCCGTTTTGATAGCTTCCTGAAGAGTCCTATACAAATGAGATAACATAGTGTTACAGGCAAATTTTGATAAGAGGAAAATTTAAGAATGACATGAAGAGGGAGACAGCTATCTAGCGGCAGATGTCCAGACAACATTGTGTTTTATCACATGTCATGAGAAAGCAAACATGTCCTGTAACATATCTGCAAGCATAGGCGCGGGAGCCGGGGGGCAGTGGGGGCAGCTTGCCCCCCCCCCCCCCAACTCTGGGGCCGTGGGGGCGGTGCCCCCACAGCTTTGAGACGGAATACCACACTTTTTTTGCAAATGTTTTCTTTTTTGTTGAAAAAGCCGAGGGGTGAAAAATAAGTGGCCTAAAACCGGTGAGAAAACTAGATTTGGGGGTACCCTAGGTCAATCTCTATTATGGTGTGCCCCCCCCCAGTCGGAAAATAGTTCCCGCGCCCCTGTCTGCAAGAAAATGGAGAAAAACAATCATAACAGGAATATTATTTCCAACACTGCACACCAAAACACGCTGATCACTAAATATATTCAAAAAATTAAGTACACAACCTATTCATCGACATTTCGTGGCTAATGATGTATGAAAAAAGTCTTATGGACTACATAAACTATCTCCGTGAAAAACGATAACAAAAACACATAAGCAAAATCTATAAAACTTGATTGTAAGTACGGAGGCTTCAATGAGTATGTAATAAGTAAGCATCTTAGGTTTGGAAGAGACACGATAAATCAGGAGAGTTTGTATTGTGGTTTTGGAGATCCAGTTACACTTCTAAGGTCTCTGCTTCTGGTCTATTGACACTGACATCAACATCGTGTACTTTGGATCAAACTTCAAGAAGTGTTCTATCATCCAAGAGAACAAGACCATTTAACCTGATGACATGGCTACGAGCAACTGCCAACTGGTGAGAAATGGAATTAAACTGATATACAGAACAAAATGTAAGACGTGTACCAGATTTAAGTCCATGCCAAATCACGACTGAGCCGTTTGGTAATTAGCGACTCGGTTTCAGCCATGTTTCAGATATTTCAATTGACAGCACTCCTCTAACCATTAAAAGAAACCCTTTTTGGGAACTTCTCAGGCGATGTGATACATAGCACAAAGTATCTACATTCTAGTGTTCATCACGCTATGCCTACACGGCACAATGGAAATTCCCTCCAAGAACATCGACACATCTATCATGACAGACTGTCAGTGATCGCGTATGAGTTCATAACGCACCACACACGCACATAACTGGCTTCAGCAGCTCGGTACATGATAATCCAGAACACTGCACATATGCCTGGAGTTGCTCCCTGCGCTGACTGTTCACAGTACACGCTCATGTGTTCATTAAACCAGCCGGTTATTGGTCATGACGGGGCTCGGCGCCAGCCGCCGCCAGCCTCATAAGACGGAGCGAGCTATTAGTGCCACACAGCTTCACCAGAGGTGTAGGAGCTACCACAACGGCAACGAAGGCCGCAACACTGTTCAGCGTCCTCATAGTAGGGAAGAGAGGGGCCATGGGTGTGAGACAAGAGGTTTTACGGCGAACTAAGTAACCTTGTGGAGGTGTACTGGAGTAAGCTCGGGTTGAGACCCGTGCTAACTAGTTTAAACATGGGGATTGTTCATAAGAGATGGGAAACATAATTCCTTCTTTCTCTCTGAATTCACGATAAGCTCTTCCGATCAAATGCCTCGCAGAAAATGCAACATACACACATTTATGATGAACAATTTTACCTTGAGCTTATATCCTTCTTCATTATTTTCGCAAGATATAACAGAAAAACGCACTAAATAAAATTACATATTTTTAGAGCCATACTCATGAAGATTTACAGCCATACACAACATACATCTATCAGTACACATGAGCACTTCCATACAAGACACGCTCTGCGACACGGACGATCATAATAAAATATCAAAGTTTTATCCGAGTCGACCATGCAAAACAATATCACAATTTTACGCCCTCGACCGGCGTGTTGTTTTCTCCCGAGCCGCAAGATATCGGGGGCACCAGCCTCGGCATCTATGGCTCGCGAGACACACATCTTCTAACCGCGCTACGAGACAACTTGTCCCGGGGGCGCTGCCAAGCCGGCGGCAAATGACCTCTGCCGAAACCGATTGTCGGTCGTAGTGCGCTGTTTATGGCGAAGCTGCGTGGTTTGGGGACGCGGTCGGGAACGGGTGGGGACTGGGGAGGAATAGCTGCGGATAGGACACAGCAGCATGGAATAGGACGACAAGCCGCAAACAAAACAAACGATACTGAAGAGCCAGAAGATTTGTGAAGGAAAAGGCTGTATGAATAACAGACATGGCATTAAATGTTTGTCACACAAATGGTTTATTCCAACAAATTGACACACTGTGTAAGGTTAACGACACCAGCAACAACAGCGCTTCATGACAATGACAAATATAGTAATATCGAAAAGGTATATAAATGTGAGCAACACAGATAAGAAATAATTGATTACCGATGTGACCGTGGCGCCAATGGCATTGACTTATAGACATTGTCAGCCCCGGTCACCTTAGCTAAAGATATACGAGTAAAGGATGGGTCCAGGGTCACGGTAACAAACACACTAAACAAGAACAAAGATCTTACAGTTGACAACAATTTACAGTTTACACTTGCGTAAACCACATAGTGTGCGGTGCACAGTAACAGCGAACGGTACTAAGTGCGGTAACTATCTCAACTATAACAACCACCGTGTCGGCGTGGTGAAAAGGTACAGCTTTTAGTGCCAGCGAGCATGAGCGTTAATCAAGTGAAACGGAGCAATAAGAGGGTGAATAATGTGTGCACATTAATTTGACATACATATGTAGACCATGCTTTCATGGGCACTTGTGATCCGGCTTAACAAATAAAAATAGTACAATTTATCGAACTATTCGTTTCGAGCCAGAAGCTAAAACGGATTATAGCTTTATATAATTAATCACTTAATCCCTTATTTTCATTTCACATAACGTCCAACTACATATAATGGATTAGCTAATCCACTTTTACTTATCTGGATCACAGGTGCCCATGGAAACCGGGCCATAGATGAAGATCACGTCACCTACCTACATCTCATGAATGACTTTCGGACACACCCAGCCATCTTAATTGGCACGGCAGTAACGACAGATCAATCAGTCGTAGTTCGAAGGGTAACTTCCGTGGGACAACACCGAACTGCCGAACGCAAAAACAGTGTCGCAGTTGACACTATTCGAAACTTGGCTGCTCTAGTTTCTTCAGGTCGATATCGCAGCCGGCAGATAGCGGGGCGCCGCGTCCGACTGAAAACTATCAGTCGGGCGAGATCGACGCCTTTCAGAGATGTCCCGAGCTTATGCGCGCGGCGTCCCGGCACGAAGCTATCTAATGCCCGGCCCGGAGAACCGGCGAGGCGTGGGAGCTTCTCGTAACGCTCTGGGCCGCCCCGGAAAGCCGTGGCGGGTCTCGCCCGACACAGGGGTCATCTGAGCATCGAGGGCCAGCGGAAAGGTCAGCGTCTCAAAAAGGTCAGCGCCGCTGAAGGAGCTAAGACAGGCGAAAGCAATGAAGGCTTGCACCAGCAGGCTGGGCCGAACAGAATCTACAGAGGAGGTCGCGCCGTGTGGTCTCGGGCTGAAAGGGAGAGGAAAAGAGAGCGGAAGAAGGTGGAAAGAGAGAGAGAGTGAGAGTGCGAGCGGTGTCATGGTACCGCGCTGTCAGGCCACAGGCGCCGTGGCCGACCGGCGGGTGTCAGTGTCAGTGTCGTCTGACACCGGTCGGCCACGCGGATCTACCTACAGAGGCGCCGCGCGCCAAACAGCAGAGAAGCGAGCCGCGCAGTGGGGGGCGCCGCTCCGCAGAGAGAAGAGAGAGAGAAACGAAAGGAGATATCAGCCGCTCACCACCGTCTGCCACGAACTTCCAAGAGCGCGGAGAACCGCTGTGGCCGCGGCACTGGCCGCAGGTGTATCTAACTGAGCGAGCTATGCTCTTTATAGTGGGGGTACCTCGCTACTTTTACATTCTGGCTGACCATGCTTATCCATCAGTGCACCATGCTTTTGGAGACCCCTGCGCGAGGTCCGATCACGTGATGCAGTTTATTGCCGCTCGCCACGACGGTCGTGTGGCGCTGATCATCTCTGATTTAGTCGATGGCGTGGTTTAGAACACCAAACACTGAACATCAACGAGTGCCGACGACAGAGCGGGGTGTGGACAGTCGATTCGAGCCGCAGCGTATCGAGAGGAGCGCCCTTTGGGGAGCAACAGACGAATTGAGAAGTTGAGAGTTGAAAACAGAACAGCAAAATATGGATAAATATGGCTAAAGGTCCTGGGGTGATAAGAAAAATTATAGCGAAAAAATATTTATATGTTGGAAAGACATGACGTTACAAAATTTATAGGCAGTAAATTATTTCAATGTTTAATAAGAGTGCCAGCATTCTGGCCTCGCTGCTGCCCGCTCGACGGCCGTCCACTCTTCGCACTGACATTCCGGCGACTTACTTTAATCGTATTTGACTTTTTGGCCCCATCGGTCGGGTGCGTTTTATGCAGCGGCTGGAGGTCATCACACAACGGAATGTAGAACGGATTCCAGTATCAACGGGACACGGCACACCACAGGACCAGCTCCGAAAACCAGCACACGGAGCGACATTCGGGTCGGACCTCGTCACTTGACTGGTATCGTAGCGACAAAGTTCATGGCGCTCCCAGAACTATGAGGCATATGCTAGTGCGATCAAAACAGTGTTAATGTTCATTGCATGCAAAACGGAAAGGAATTGCAAACACCGTCCTTCGTAGAAAAAAAACTTGTGGTGTTGTGTTAGTCTATTGAGAAATACAACTTTAAGCACTAAGCAGCTCATTGACAAAAAAAAAAAACTTGTTCAAATGCTCCGCTAGAAAGCTCACCTGTAAAAGTGTTTAATGAAATTTCTATTTCGTCGAATCAGGACAAGTAAGGAAGGCATATCTTGCATTGCAGTTGCATTGTATTATGACATACAGACTAACGAGTCTCGATCTATGTATTTAACCCCCGTGGCAAACGCAGCAATTTCGTACTTCAGTTACGCTTCTTTCTTACGCCCATTACGAATCTACCAAGCCTCTCCGACGAGCGATACGATAGCTGATCCGCAGCAAGAGATTCTCCTGACAACAATCTTTAGAGCATACTCTTGAGCCACCCTCAATACCGAATCCGTTCGCTTACCAGTGTCCACCACTTACCCAACGCCAGCATATTCCCTTTGGCTACAAGTGGGCTGTTCCGCGCTCTCCCAGAGTATGCATACTTTCCTCCCCTCGTCCACAGGTGACCCCTGGTCCATAGATGACCCCGCTTCCACTCCTTACCTTCATGTCCGTGTCGGTCGAGTCCATGGTCTGCGCCTGCGCCAGGAACCGGCTGGACACGGAGCGGCCGTCCGCGTCCGAGCTGTGCATGAAGATCACCTGGGTGTATCCGAGCATTTTGAGCAGGTCCACCCACACGTCGGCCTGGTGTGAGTAGGGCGGCACCGTGCGCAGAAACGAGCCGTGGATGTTCTGTCAACGGGGGGGGGGGCAATGGTCAGTACGGCGGCACCGTGCGCAGAAACGAGCCGTGGATGTCAGTACGGCGGCACCGTGCGCAGAAACGAGCCGTGGATGTTCTGTAAAGGGGGGGGGGGGCAATGGTCAGTACGGCGGCACCGTGCGCAGAAACGAGCCGTGGATGTTCTGTAAAGGGGGGGGGGGCAATGGTCAGTACGGCGGCACCGTGCGCAGAAACGAGCCGTGGATGTTCTGTCAAAGGGAAGAGGGGTTGATAGGGCGGCACCGTGCGCAGAAACGAGCCGTGGATGTTCTGTAAAGGGGGGGGGGGGGCAATGGTCAGTACGGCGGCACCGTGCGCAGAAACGAGCCGTGGATGTTCTGTCAAAGGGGAGAGGGGTTAGTAGGGCGGCATCGTGCGCAGAAACGAGCCGTGGATGTTCTGTCAAAGGGGAGAGGGGTTAGTAGGGCGGCATCGTGCGAAGAAACGAACCGTGGATATTCTGTAAAAGGGAGGGGGAGCAATGGTCAGAAGGGCGGCACTGTGCGCAGTAACGAGTTGTGGATGTTCTGCCGAACAGAGGAGGGAGGGGGGGGGAGGCAAAGTAAGTAGGGCGGCACCGTGCGTAGAAACGAGCCGAGAATGTTCTCCCGAACAAGGGGAAAAGTGTGGGGAGGGGGAGAAGTCCTGCAGCATCGAGCCTCAGCAACACAAAATGCTTAGAGGAATTGGGGGATTAAACGGCCATACTGTCATGTGTATACCGACCGGTAATACGACTGCAATGAAAGTACTTTATATAGTGGAACTGAAGAAAAAGAAACATTCAAAGAGACAACATTTAGTCATTGGAAATAGATCCAAAACGTAAGTGACCCAATGCACAGTGTGGCCGAACACCAGTTTAGCGCGAATTTAATCCCAGCGCCGCTCGGATCCACTGAAAATGGTTCTCTGGTTCCAAAACTGACATTTACCCTTCGCCGGACCTATTGGTTTTCAAAATACGCGCCGGCCGAAGGGGGGGGGGGGGTACGACCCCCGTCGCTATTTCGCCCCTGATGAAGCTAGAGCCTCGCGGAAAAAAGGAGCGTTTGTGCCGTTACGAGACGCAGCAACTGGTATCCGATTTTAAGGTCTCAGGTTAACCTGTGACCTCTGAGGTCAGGTCAAGTGGCCCAAGGCACGGATTCGTTTTTTATTAATAACTTCGCGAAAAAATGCCGCAGAGTCGCAATTTTGGCATCATCGTGTTCGCCTTGCTCAGGTGCGTCGAATGGTATACTTTTTGTTCGGCTGAAGTCAACTTAAGGCGTTGACCTCGGGTCAAGATCAGGTTACATCACGATCATTTTACCAGATCACGAAGTTGGTCGAAGGAGGTCATGTCGCATATCATTCAATTCGGCAGGTCTTCCTGAGTCCATTGGTGGCTTTCCCGACTCGTTAGCTCAATTTGATCGAGAATTATCGACGAAAAACTCTTATTACCCTAGTGACGTCATAAATGACGTCACGTAAGGCCAATAATGCAAAAGTGAAGCATCGGACCTTGCAAGGAGTGCATGAAATCACGATTCCGTGTGCTTGAGATAGTTAATTAGGCTGGAGCCTGTTCGGCCGCGCCGCCCCCGACCTTGGTCAGGTCACGCCGGGCGGCCGACTAGACATGTTCAAAGCTGAATTGACGGCAAATAGGCAAAAACTGGCAGCCAAAACTTGCTCGCTCATGTTCAGAAATGTGCGGAGAGTTCAGCCATGCCCTATTCGTCATATCCATTTTTATCCATTTTGACATTTTCCAACTTCTTTATGAAATACTATCGTGAGAACGATACACATGCAGGGCTCCTGTTCTAACTCATTTAACTCAGAAACCATTCGTTGAAAAGCTACCATGATAGCAGAAACAGCTTCAACATGAATTGTGCTATCCGGTGATATGCTATTTTCTCATATATCTTCTCGAAGCTTCCGTAAAATTTACATTGAAAACTGGGCATATTTCTCAGTACCATAGCCCAATTTCAGGAACCGGAGCGTGGGTTTACTTTCGGCAGGGATATAAGTCCTCAAATGATAAAGTGGCTTAAGAATAAGGTTCTATTCGATAACTTCGGACAATTTCCTACCAATTGATAGGTATAAATAACATTTTATCGAAAGTCGGGTTTTTGATTAAATTCGCGCTAATCTGGTATTCGGCAAGACCGTGCAATGATGGAGTGATCGGATTCATTAGCTACGATAAACTCATTGCATTAGCTTTAGCGTATCTCCTTATTTGCTAAACGCTCACTACGGCTTCGCTTTCATTGAGGCAAATTACATAAAACGCTGTTTGAAGGAAACGAACCATAGCCTCTGTCCTCTTTTACTTAATGTCTATCTGTTCTCAACTTACCCCCAAGTCAGGTGATTTGAAGCTAACCTGACCCTTACATCCACTCTGGAGTTGTGTCGCAATCCCAGACGTAAAAAACCGAAAGCCTCAATTCTTAAACACCTCCCAATGCGACGGGCGCATTGGGACAGGACGGCGGACGCTTCACACCGTTCAGTTGCGAGGCGATGTGCTTATTAGACTTAATTTTCTCAGCCCCGAGGCGGTGTGCCCAGTGTGTACCCGTGACGCCTACGACATCGTGACCTTTATGACTTACATAAGTGCTTTCCATGACCTTCAGAATTTTCTAATCTATATGACCCTAATAACTTGTGACCCCACGACCCTAATGACCCATGACCCGTGACCACTGACTTCGATGACCCGGTGACCTCACTGACCTTGTCCGAGAAGGCGCTGTCACGAGAGGTGATGCCCACCACGGGGATGTGGTAGAATCCAGACGTGTAGGAGACGGCGGCGGGAGAGATGTCCCCGGTGCTGGGGTGGGACACAACCATGGCGTACACCTGTAGATAAAAACAGACAGGTACAGAAACGGGTCATACTGGTGGCACGACTGGAACGGGAGAGATGTCCCCGGTGCTGGGGTGAGACACAACCACGGCATATGTATGTACACCTGTAACAACAGACGGACAGATATACATAGATACCTATACATAGACCTTACCCGCGGCAACAGACACAAACGCACAGTAGCGGCCACTAGCAAACGACTGAAAATAAAGTTGGGCGTGACGTTGCCTCCAGCGAGCACTCAGCGTCATGTTCTGCGGGAGACCATAACTATCAAAAAAGCAGGATTAATTCCAATGCACAAATACGGCGCGGAAGTCAAATGCTTTTATCATTTCCAAGAACTAGCTGCACCTGGGCCGTCGAGCCAAAAACAGGACTGCGGCCTCCAGAGCTTGTCTGGCTGAGCGGAATATCTGACTCAAGTGCTCTCAGTGTTACCATAATGGTGCCCTTCAGCCCTGTTCTTGCCAACGGTCGGCCCTTACCGACATAAGTGCCGCGCACAGCGCTTCAACGAGTTCAGATCGGCTATGAGAACTAGGCTTTATCCCCAGCTAATCTGGGCCTCATCTATCGCACATTGGAAACAAAGTTCTGGATACTGATGATGAAAAGGAGGTGGAAAATGACATTGTCCTCTGCCTAGTCCAAAATTTAAAGACAGCGTCGTTGAACCATACCAGTATCATAGATTCATTCGAGGCTTAACAAACACGAGCTGAAGCCTCTAGGGACAAGCAACACAGCCCACAACGTTAAAGGGACAGTATCACCATTTTGATGAAACTTGACATTGCATAGGCCCCACCTTTCTGGTCCGGGAACTGAAGACCGATCCTCGAAGCTCCACACCGTTATCCCGCTATCGCCGCTCAAAGTACGAAAGGTGTACCACACTTTGAATCGTGCTTCACTATCTTCACTGTTTAAATGTTTGCGCCGTTTTGTATTGACCGCCAGTAATAAAACTTTTACCCTGGTCATTTCATCAAATTTTATAAAGCCAAAACGTTTTTCGCACTTATTCATCACCGTTAAATTCATTAAATAGTCGTAGGCAATTTCCGCTGTTTCCTTCGGATTCTAGCGGCTCAACAAAGGAATTCCTCCAGCTTGAATCACAATCTCCCTCCAATGTATGACGTTTGTCACGTGATTGTCACGTGATATTTTCTCCCATTGTCAATTGTCACGTCCAATTGTCACTCCCTCCAATTGTCACGTTATATTTTTATAGGCAATACCTAAGGCTACCTCTCCCTAAGGACAACTCAATCAGAAGAACGACCGCGTAAGCGTAGCGTCAATAATGTATTATCTGCGCCAGTTCTGTAGTAATTTTGCATGCTTCCAAACTGGCGGCCATGCTTGTATAGTGGTGGTTCGCTCATAAAAATGAATCATGAAAATGAAATGTGGTTGCAATATTTTTCACCGAGTTCGGTCCTCAAACTATGTTTTTTTCTGATTCAGAAAAATAAGAAATGCTAGTAAAAAAAAATCAGCTCCATACATGGATTTTTTTTCGATGATACTGTCCCTTTAAGCAAATGTCTCGACATTAGTTCGATCATCGTAAGTATGCCAGTAGTGCAACATCTGTGCCAGCGGACAAGGCCGAACTGCGTAATACACAGCGGGTATGCCCAGTTATCAAGCTTCTACCGCATAGAAACTAATCACCTGATTCTGACGGATGATTTCATATCTTTCTCATGCGTTTTAGCATTATAATGTTTCTGCATTCATGATCGCTGAAGTACATATAATGCCGGCGCCGCACACATAGGTCGTTACGTTAAGTTAACATTAAGGTCGTTTCGCTGCTATATCGTTGATTTCTTGAAATGCCTGGCTAAAACTGATGACGTTTAGCCCAACCATAACTCTTGTTAAGTAAAATGGTGTTCGTAGCGATGAAATTTTCCCATCATTCCTGAAATTCCCTTGCGACGACCATAAGAGATGCAATAAATAAAATAACCATAGTCATACGCCTAGTATCTCAAGTTCCTTGTGATAGGATTATATTTCGAGCCGCAAAAACACTCCCACATCCGATATCGAAATCAAACCAATTCAGCTGCTGCTGGACGGCTACAGACTCTCCCCGCTACGCGTCATTCCACGACGCTACGAGCGTTTCACCGAGAAGAAATAGCCACATCCGGTTGAAGTGGGCCATTCGTTTACGGCCCTTTCACCTCTTCCACCGCTATGGAGACGGCGTAACCAGGGATCCTCACCGCAAAACATCACAGTCCTGTCACAATATTAGTCAAAGAGGCCAACTGTGTGCCATTTCTGCGCGGCCTATGTAACAAGACATAAGCCATTGCCGTCTCAGCCGGCTTTCATTCTAGGGAATGGGGACGTAAAGGAGCACAACCAGCCACTTTATGGGATATTGCGAACTTTAGAGGTGGCGGGCAGGGCGGTCAGCCTTCAGCTGGGCACTGGGGATCAGTCAGTAACGGGAAGAGGGACAGCCTGGGGAAGGTAAGAGCCTTTGTGGTTCCTCTCAAGAGTAAACTGAAGTGGGACAAGACAACAGCTGACATCAACATGCCACATTTGGAAAGGTTAGGAGATTACACAAAGAGCAGCATCATACTCCCGAGTATGACACGGAGTTTACGCAAGGCACCATCACACACTGTGTTCGTTTCATGATGAAGCTATAAATGGATTCGCAGGAATATGTAAATTCATGATCTAGCCACTCGCCAGTGATTCAGTAGCCAAGGGCGCAAGTTCGATAGGTATGGCAAGTTTCCCCTTGCCTGAGGATAGGCCTTATTTCTAGATCATGCCTAGCTGTTTCCGCTGCATAACTTCAGGAGTCTCGAGTTCGGCCTTTAAGCCAACCTGTCGGCGCTTTAGCTCCTCTGAACTACGAGAAAATGGTCGGAGCGTCATAAAAAAAAAAAACTGGATAAAACCCTACGACGTAGTTAGGGAATCACAATATTGTGACTGTCATATCTGAACTGTGGAGAATGAGACCCAAAGTCGTTTACCTTTTTAGGCGCTGATGGTCTCGCTATATTTTCCCGTTTGTTTCCAGCAGCAATATTAGGCAACAGTCATGTCAGTCGAGGAGACAAAACAGCTCGTCGATGCCTCTAACATAAGGCTTCCTTTTGACTTCTTCTATGGCCTCTTTTTTAACGCAATCTCATTCAGTAGAGCGTTTAAACATCAATTCTAACCTCAACGCACCGAAAATGGCACCAACAGCTGACCAGATACGATGATCCGACGTCAAAATACGGAACTATCCACCGACCGCGGCGGCGACGGCGACTCATCCCCCCACCGGATACTGGCGGTCGTGCCGCTTTGAGGGCCGCTGACTCACGTCATACGGCTGAATGCCTGAATAGTGGAGCCGCAGAGTAATTGACTTCCGCCTCAGCCAATGGCATTCCCCGCACTCACGACAACCGGCGGCTACGAGAGAACAGCCTACATTTTTCACAGCATTGTAGCGGAAGATTCGTACAAGACTCTGCCACTAAAGAGAATGGTGCACTTGCATGGAGTAGAGCTCGAGAACAAGTGCTGATGCGAAGGCATTTCTATGATAGCTACTTTGCAGTTTGTGCATCTAAAATACCAGCGTGATAATCTCTTAGTATTCATGAGCAACATTCACATACTAATTACTAGCTCATGCTGCCCTAGATGTACCGGTGTTCGGTGTTCACTATCTGGGAACTCAATTATGAATAACTTGGTAATTATTCCATGCTACTGAAAGTAGTATGAAAAGGGGAGCGTGGGTTGATCATCATACACACCGATCTAACAGCCACGGGGAGTTAAAATTTTGGATATAGGACCACCACTCGGGTTGAAAGCACTTGATTGACAGCGCATTTAAAAATAAGAGGGATGGAAGAGGGAAATAGTCATTGCGTTAAAACAGCACGACATAAAACACAAAAGCCAACTATCAGAGCCACACTTAAACAGAACAGAAGCGACGTTGAAGTAGCATTTAAAAGGATCTTCCTATGGAATACTACATCAACAAATCGAATCATATGGGTAAAGCAACTCGACAGCGTACACGCTCATTTCCAGTTCAGACACCATCGCCTTGTCGTACCCTGTATGTCAAGCGCCAATGAAGCACTTTTCTCTAAAATAACTTGGCGACGTCCTCACCTGTGAGTTGACGAGGTATTTGCACACGTTGAGGGCCGTGCGAATGGGATTCTCCTCCATCCGAATGGTTGAAACGTAAAGGGTTGAGGCGCGGGATACATATTCCTTTTGTTCATTGAGTTCCTGCGAAAAAGTACATAGTGATGTTATGTTATGATAAAAGAATAATTATTTTGTTGCAAGGTTAAACAAAAATACGTAGCTAACATTCGATATACGCACATCAGCTTTGAACTACATATGGTCATTTGTAACATAACACTTCAGGGTAGTAGAATAACAAGACAGGGAGGAGAGATTCAATTGGTGCAGTCACTGCGTCAGGTGGTCCTGGGGAGAGACTGAGACGGTTTCATGTTTCCGATACTCTGGTGGCATGTTGTTCAAGATGGTTGAAACAAAAACAAAAGTTCACTTAAGATAGGTACAGGCGGGCATAAAAAGTGGCGACATAGGCAAGCTGGTTCAATTTATGCATGAAAATAGCTATATTAAAGAACCCTTTTCTGCATGGGAAAACACCGAGTCTGTTTCCATGTTTTGCTTAATCCCTTGTAAGATATATCTGGCAGCATGGTCCAGTAATTAGATCTCTGCTTAAGATGAATGTTTCTTCTGGCACCAAATTTATGACACTGGCTGTATTAATTGAAACCGACTTCCCGCACAAAACTAATAAAGGGCAAATGGCAATAGTCAACATCCATTTAGATCAAACGACCATTTCCAGTCCTTATTCATCCTCCAATATCAGAAGTTGTTTCACAAATTGACCACTAAACATAATAACCAGCTGCACTAATTTACCGACATCCAAAATCAGCCAACGAGGATCATTGGCTCGAAGCAGCACTGGCCGTTCAGAAGGCGACGGTTTCCACTTCGCATCATGCAAGGCCAGAAATAATTCTAACGTAGCTGTGAAAGTCCACAGTGGCACCAAAGTTGAAGTGTCACAGTGGTGAAATGACAAACCATCGAGCCATGTTTTCTCGGTAACAGCATAAATAAGCTAGACGCTAATATATGGTAAAAGTTTCATGAGAGGTGATTGACCGACTGTCCCAAGAGGAATCTCATTTGCTGACATGGAATCAATAACGCCTGCTATCGAACACACCCTTTCACATGGGCAATATTGATCATCCTTTATGCGAAGAGCATTGTTTATCAAAGATCCATACGCAAACTTCTCTGAGAACATCATATCGGCTATCGCGCAAGGGGATCCATAAGCATCAGGAACTCGCAAAATTTGAGGAAGCAAACTACATAGTATGTATATCCCCCGCATGTGCTGAGAACAGCTTAGTAACATCAGAACGACCTCCACTGACTATTGTAGCATTACGAAACGTTACGCAGCAATGATTTACATGGCTATAAAACCACACGGATGGCTGGTCGATATTGCACCGTCTAATTACGAAAACAGCACGATTTATCGAGGTAGTTGGGACGCGACATCTGAGACACCGGGAATTCAGAACAGCCATGGTATTATCCAGATCTGTCGCTCCTGTGGACATTTTACCATCACCGTATCAACTAAATAAAACACCTTAACACAATCGAACGTAATACGGAATTGTCAATAGTAAGCGCGCGCCGGACGAGTCGGTCTTGAAAACACTTGTGCTGCGGCACAGCATGCAGTCAGGCGTCTACCACTAGCGACATCTATGGTGAAGCTGCGAAAGTGTACGATATGCGGCGACGATGCTGATTCAACATTGACCGCATTACCCCAACTATTATTTTGTCTCTTCAGAGTGTGAAAACACCTTCAAAAGATCATCAAAACTTTTCAGCAAAATGTGACTTCCTCGTCTAAATGGACTTTCTTGAATGGCTGCAATTTGAAGTTTTAATTCCACCGCGCAGGCTAAAATTATGTCTAATCGTCCTACTAGTGACTGTGCTCTTAACGCACAAGAAAGGTTGAGTGGTCTGGATATCCGCAATAAAAAGAGCTAGGATGGTGGGAAAAGATATTTTGAAGTCAGATCGTTACTGACTCTTCTTTATGTCAGTCTTGTCGAAGACACGCGCTACTCTTGTTTTTGCCACTTAATTGACCAACCATACTTCAATCATTTGGTGTGCGAGACCGGCCCAGATCTCCCGGTGAATGCACCCCACTGCGGTGAGACAGGGATGGTGGTAGAATACCCCATGCCTTCCTCCTAAAGGAGAAGCGGCACAGCCATAAAACACTGAACAGCGGAGCATGCAGTTATCAGCACATTCAGTGACAGCAAAAATCAGCTTTCTCCTATGCGAAGCGAGCGTAATGAAATATTTAACATCTTAATGTGACTGTTGAAAGTAAGGGAAAAATATGCCCATCATCCCCATAACTTTTCATGATTTTAATAAGCAATCAATAGCCAGATGAAACGTTATTTCACCTAAAAAAAAAGTCAGGAAGCATGCGCAAACAGACTCGCGTTTGAAGATTAACAAATGTATCCCTTTTAAAATGAATTCAAAAGTTTAGGCCATACATGTACTTATATGTCACATCGCAGACTCGCGCTTATACATACTATTCAAGCACTCGCTATCGATCAAATTGATCAAGTTCCCCTACTTCCCCGCTGCCACGTTGAAGTGTTGGCACCTACCTGGATTGTTTTGTTGAAGGTTTGCTCGTTCTCGGTGCTGGAGAGCACGCCGCCGATGCGGAAGTGCCGCGGGTTGTCGGCCGCCAGAACATGCAGCAGAGATAGCAGAAGGAGGGCAGGGGCGGAGGGTATCATGGCCCACCTCGCCTCTGTCACATGACTGGTCTCAAACCCGCCTGCGGCAAAACAACCAGACAAGATCAGTGTGTGAAAAAGGCAGACGATGGGGAACTGAGGCACGCTTACCACCAAAGTGGTAAGCGTGGTGAAGTAATTATTTTCGAATGTCCTTCCATATAATGCCAGTTCATCACCGTACAAAACCAGAGCAGCGATATTTTGCACCGGAAATATTGTCTCAGGGTCAGCGCGTGGCAATCAGAGTCCATTACGTGGCCGCGTCTATTCTCGCCATTTTTCCAAGACCAGACCGGTCGGCCGTAAATGCATGTATACGTGATCGGTGCCGGGAAGCTGTCGTTGACGTCACGTCGGATGCCTCTCTCAGCCATTACTGGGCTCCATTACCGGGCCGGCTGGCGGCTGCGCCGGTCCTCCGCCGACCCTGCGGCCGGGCGTGCCCAGCGGCACCCCGCCGCGCGCGCCGACGTGTCAGGTGCAACGACGGGGCGTCTCGCCGCCGCCGGCGGCCGCTCGAGCACCGCGTGCGCCGGCGGCCCATTTGGCAATGTGCCAGCGCGACGGGCGCCCCTCCCCTGCCGGCCGGCCGCCGCCGTCGGTCGCGCCGGCTCCGGCGGCCGTGCAGCTGAGCGGCCGCCGCGCCGTTGCCGACGGCCGACGACCCGACACGCGCGCCGGTGTCGACGCAGGCGGCCCACCGGCGAGAAAAGCCCGGCCGATGGCCGCCTCAGGAAGGATTGGAGCGTCGGGGCGAGCCGGGACCGACGGACGGCGCGAGGCGCGAACCCCGCCCACTGACGGACAGGGACGCGCGGGGGCGTTGGGGTGATGCGATCCCGTGTCCGGCGCTGGCAGCACTGGTCGTGGCCTGTCACGTGAAGGAAATGACCTGATGAATGTGCTGCAGCCTGCGCGCCAATGATGTGCTAATGGTGCTCCGGTTGAGGCTACGAGCGTCCTGTCTGCGCGTCATTAGTGCCGTGAGCAACAGCCGTCACTCAGCAAATCGCTGGAGCGAGCTAAAGATCTTAAAACGCGAGTCAGTTGAGCCATTAGAGACTTAGTCGCGAAGTGAAACTGGAAATGTTTTGTGCGTTTGTGCATCGAACGTGGTGATAGATTAGGGCGACACATACAACAAGTAACTTGTTTTTTACCGAGTTAGTGGTTGATGTAGTTTGATTTGTAAATGCCTGCTAAGACACCTACTGTTAAATATTTTCCGAGACCAGTAAAAAAAGCGACGTCTATCCTTCAACAGAATGACCCAGTTACGAGAAATGCGGGAAGCGCCTTGTCAGGAGTGACTGTGCCGAAAGCTGTTGGTGTTTCACCTCACCATGTGCTGAGTGAAGTGGGTGCCTAACATGACGTGACAATGTCAACACAGCTTTCATCAACACTCGTCCAGCCCAAATAATGTTAGAGCCTGTAAGACCGGGCCGCCTCATTTGCTTCAGCCGTGCAACAGCATGCATACGACTTTAAACGACGGAAACGGTGGAAATAGTCACGTCAAAATCGTAAGCCTACCTGATAAATTCACAAGGTCCCAACGTCTTATTTATTTTATTTCTGGAAATTTTGTTTGAATGAATGAAAGGGTGATTGTGGGCCCGGGTGCCCCGCTAAGAAGTGCTTGTTGCGAGTTCCATTAGATTGACATGACAATTCAGCGCTTATTCACCTTGCAATAAGCTAAATTCATAACGATATTACAGGTGGGAGTGAAATTCATTTACTTAAAGGTAGTGTGCCAGCTTTCTTGGACCGTATGGAGTTAATGGCCCAGATAAGGAGAACCGGATTTTTAGAACTTATCCATACCTTCAAAACTCATGGAAACGTCTTAAATTCTTCAAATTTTGAGTACCCCAGTGCGAAATTCGCCCCGACGGGTTGTCGGTCGTACCCCAACCACATTTCACACCACTATGAACAATAAATGCACACACTGAAATCGCTATTACCGATATGCTCATCCAATCAAGTTTCGATAAACCCGTTCATCATCATCTCCTGCGGTTTCGAACACGCCTGTTAGGTGGCTTCTGATGCTCGTCGAGGTCGGAATTTCCAAATACGCGTGGTGCGTCGGGCCGCGCGCTCTGACTTCGGCCAAGAAAAATGCGTCAGCTGATCATTGTCATTTCTGCCACTTGCGTGTGGTGAAATGGGGTCATAACTTATAAGACGGCTTTTTCATATCAATTATTTTACATAAAATCATATTTCAAACCATAAATAATGTTCGACAGCCAAATAAAAGAAACAATACCAATACGGGCTTACAGTTTAAGGCTCGACATTGTGTTGTCTACGATTAGACAGCTGATAACTCATTCCCGTACGTCGTATGGTCGTAACACTATAATGACCTTTGCTTATTGTCACAAGTGCGCCGCATTCGCGATTGTTGCCCGACGCCTGTTTGCAGGTGAGCCCACTACAGTTGTTATACATATCTAAAAACCGAAAAACTTTTAGGCGAAAAAGGCACTATTCCAGGCCCATTTTTGATTTTTTTTTGCGATATTAGGTAAAAACAGAAGCTTCTTATCCTAGGAAAAATAAAATGGGAAATCTTTCAAAGGTGGCACACTACCTTTAATTACGCCGGACAGAAAACGCAAATTCCAGCGACAACTTTGGCACTAAACTTCTGTTTTGGGTGAAAAGCCACCAGAACCAGAAGTTAAGCCGACTCAGCACCATCAATGCTATAAACAATTCAAAGATAAACAGAACAGTCGGTAAAACGCCTTTTAAAAGATGGTAGCGGGCAGAATATATAGCAGTCAAAAAATAGTAAAGAAGTAGGTAAAGTGCACCGGTGGCTATGCAAGAAATCGAGTATATTTTTGAAAGATCATTGCTTAACCCTCGCCCTGGCAGGGCATTTTTCATAACACGGCCTGGCAGGGGGGGGGGGTCGATGCGACCCCCCCCCCCTCGCGATTGGCTCCTATGGCACCTAGAAACACCAAATTTGGTAGGTAGGTGAGCCCCCTGGAGTTCTCGCCTCTGTGCAAATTTGGTTGCTCTAGGTCAATATTTAGGGGGGTTTTGGGGGGGTATAAATGTAAAAATGTCGCTAAAAACAGGTCAAAAGTTTTCGCTTATAACTTTTGATCTAATTAAGATAGAGCACAAATAAAAGCACCAGTGAACTCAGCTCGTCAAGGCGCGTCGAATAATATACTTTTTAGCTTGCTTAGGTGTACTTAAAGTTTTTCTTAAATTTTAAGTAAACTTAAATTTATAAATTAAGTTCAAGCTAACCAAATTGCATCATATCGCATATCATTCGATTCGGCTGATCACCAGGAACACAATTGATACCATTTTTTAAGCTCTTGCGTCATTATGTGCCAAGTTATTGGCAAAAACGTCATTTGACCTCAGTTGACCTCATTTGACCTGACCCATGGATAAGTACACCAAACAAAGAAGCACCAAGTGACCTGCTGTTAAGTACTGTGGTTTCAAAGCACAAAAGTGATAGAACGAAGCGGATATCTCCAGTATTCTCCGAATTTAGTATTTTCCCTTAGGCTTAACATTACGACGTAATGACCTCTAACTGACCTCAGGTCAGTGACCTCAAAAAACCCGAACTATATGTTATACAACTCGGTGAACTTAGCACATCCTGAAAGTTTGAAGGAAATCAGTCCAAAACTGTGAGTTGGTCAGGTGCAAAAACAAAATTGAAATTTGACCATGACCTTGTACCGGTTTTCCTGACCTGGTGACCTGACCCAAGGTCACCCGGACCTGAAATTTTCAGCTCATATGTAGAAAGGTTGCCCCATAGGCTGTGCCAAATTTGGCGGCGCTGCGCGCCGCCGTTTTTACGCTATCTTCGAAAAACCTTAGGGGGGTCGCATCGACCCCCCCCCCCAGCCAGGGCGAGAGTTAAGTCAGACAATGGCGTACACATAATGATTACTGAGTTAACGGCCCTTAATATCTACGACAGATGTCTATATGGCCATCAGCAAGCATATATATATGTATGTAAACTATGAATGTACAATTTCATCACCGATGGAGTTAGTTATGATTTCTCACAACTCGATTTGCATGAAGGCAGCTAATTGTGCTTATGTATCTGGGATTCCTCCTAAACGCTCCTGATAATTGTTCTGAGTCCGTAGCTGTATTACGGATAGGTTGGCAGCTCACAACCAAAAATCATTGCACACACAAAGCCTCGGATTCACCACACCAAGTAGCCATCACGGGTCTGTCATTTTACAACAATGTTATTAAATATATGCTGTGTCTGTGTAGTGTCGCCGTCCACTGTCCAACGTCCACCGTCCGCACTGTCCACCGTCCACTGTCCACCATCCACCACCCACCGCCAAACCCCTCCCCTCACAACCTAGCGTCCACCGTCCACTGAAATCTCCCGCCCCTCACAACCCACCGTCCACCATCCACCGACCACCGACCGGCGTCCATCGTTCACCGAAAACGTCCACGCCGATCATCCACTTTCCACTGTCAACCGTCAACTCCTCTCCCTCACAAACCACCGTCCACCATCCACCACCCAGCGTCCACCATCCACCTACCACCGACCACGGATCACCGTCAGCCCCTTTTTCCCCTCACAACCCACTGTCAACCATCCACCATCCACCACCCACCATCCACCATCCAGCGTCCACCATCCACCGTCATTCCACCGCAGCAGTCACCACCACCTACCGCGCGGCGCGGCAACACAGACACTCCGGGAAGGGATAGTTAATCAAAACAGATCTCCTGAGGGATCGGTAACATTCAGGAGGCTCTCACTCGTGACACGGACATACCAAATCGTCCGCCTCCCCAGGAGCTACAGGGTCCGCGAGAGGGAGGGGCGTCTCCGCGAGCGGGAGGGGGCGTCTCCGAGGGGTAGGGGGCGTGGCCAGCCAGCTGACCGTGACGTCTTTGATGGATGATCTCCACATCTATTTGGAGATCGCTAGTTCACTGCCGCGCTCGACGACAGAAAAACTGGGATCGGAGCACAAAAATGGAC